TGCAACTTGAAAGACAAAATTACGTCTGAATTCTTGGCTTTGTGTAACACATGCCTTATTCTGCATTAAAAGAAGGTAAATGTTTGAAATGGAAAATATGTATTTGAATTCATATAGTTCAGAAGAATTTGTGCCATAGTCCTCACCACTTGATCTCTCCAGGAAGCTAGAAATCCTCAGGTTGACTTTTGTTTGTCCATTGTTGGTAGCAGAAGGGTTTGTTTCTTCCTTGTTTTTTTTGTTTTCTGTAATCTGAGCATGATGTGGCATGACATCATTTGAGGTAAAGACATCTGTAACTGCCTTTACAGATCTCTGCGAAGATAAGAGGTCGATTGATGTCCTGAAAAAACACTGTAGCAGGAGTTTTTTCTGTAATATGTTTCATGCCATTTATAGTTTTATTAAATAGGTTATTTTGAAACTGTATAAGTGTATGTTAATTTAGAGAATTAGTGTTATGTATTACTCAGTCTCATTTTCACTTTGCCAGATTACCAAGAAAAGTACCAAGAACTGCTTGAAAGAGAGGATTTTTTTCCAGATTATGAAGAAAATGGAACAGATCTGTCAGGACCTGGAGATCCGTATGTTTTCTTTTTGAGTGATAGTTTTTCTTAATAGTTATTTTTACTGCAGACTTAGGAATCAAATCTTGACAAAAATGAACCTAAATGCTATAATTATTATTTAGCTCTACAATGGAAGTTGTCCATTTGTTTGGATGTAAGTTGGTTCGTAATCACACAAGTTTGAAACAAATTTTATATTTATCCACCTGAGTAGAGTAATTAAATTTCAGATATTCATTCACATGTACAAACATACTGTCTTCTGCATTTAAAACAAATAAATTTGCAAGCAAAATGAAGCACCAGACCTTCAAGTGTTGGTAGTGAGGCAACCTCAATTCATTTGACTGCGCATCCACATCCCAGCTAGACATGATTACAAAATTTTCAGAGTCCTTCAAAGGGAGTTGAAGTTTCCTGCCTCACGATAAGTAGTATTCCCTCTATTAAATAGCTATTCAGTATTCCTGAAGAACAAAAAGAACAACCCAATGGCAAAGGGGTAAGCGATAAATGGGAGTGTAGTCTGACTTTGATACCGGTTTATAAGAATTTGATAGGAAATCAGTAAAAGAGATATGGTCTGAAATAAATGCTCTGAGCTTTGTACTCACCTGGTTGAAGGAAGACTTTCAGATCATTATTTGATACCTAACAACATTTTCAGTGTTGTGTTTATGTGTGATAAAGAGTGCTGGCCTGTATCGATATTTTTGTTAGTAAATTAGAAAACTTTTAGATCGCACCTAGCTGATGGGAGTGGCAAGAACTTTGGAAGAAAATTAGAAATGCCAACAGAAACCAACAAGCTTGTACTTGCTGAGGGGTGGGGGTGGGGGAATACCCACGTGAACCTCTATGCTCAGAAGAACAAATTAAATGCAAAATGGAGACAGACAGCATTTAAAACAGACAGCAAATCTGACGAGTGACATGTGGAAGGCTGTGAGTCAACCTTCATGCAAGGTGACTGTGGAACCTTCTTTGAAGGCTTAAGAAAAGCTTAGGCAAATGTATGCTGATCCTCTGTCAGCTATTTCTCATGACTGACATCAGGGAGAAGGGTTTTGTGTTGACTCCCTTCTCAAGTCTACACTTCTACAAGGAAGAAGGAACAAATAAAATAAACATGGAGACTGCTTCTTCGATGCACAATGCCAAAGAAAAAATATTTTCCGTATACATTTCTGTGATTTCTGAACTATTTCTGTCTTTTAAACTGTGGATAGCATAAGATAATCTAAAATGGTGACAAACACTGCAGCTATTTTTACATATCTATGCTGCTTTGAGGTTTCTGTTTATTTGTTTCTCTAGTACCCATGATTTTTTCCTCTTCATCCCATTTAAGAAAATTACATATTTAACTGCTATTTATAAAGCTACATTTTATTCTTGACATAGACATAAATGTTTCTGAAAATCTGTACATAAACATAACAACTTCGGTTGTTTTTTTTTTTTTAGGTATTTTGATGACATTGATGATGAGATGGATCCAGAAATTGAAGAAGCATATGAAAAATTCTGTCTAGAATCAGAACATAAGAGAAAACAGTGAGATGTTACACATTAATGTTAGTTTATTAAGTTTAGGTATGGTTAGAATACAGGGGGATGCAAAACATTTGTACCAAAATAAGGAACTTGAGTTTCTCCAAGTACTAAAGTTATACAATTTCCATTTTGTTTATCAGAATCTGCCAAAAATTGTAAACTTATGCCCTGTAACTTAAAATGTTGTGTATATATCATAGTTTATTTTATGTACAGGTATATGAACAATGTTTTGGCTGCAATAAAAAAGATTTTTAAATTATCGTAATGGAAATGAACATTTAGTGGGAAACTGTCCTGTAAAATTTGCCTTGAGGGAGAAAGGGGAAGAATAATGTGATCTACATTTAATTGCTTGCTTGATTTAGTATATATTGGGATTTACTTATCCTTTTACCATATGCAAGATGCCTGGTGGTTTTCTGTTGGTGGTTTTTTGCTTGTTTGTTTTTTGCTAAGGAAAGTAGGATCCAAGTACAGCTTTTTTTTTTTTCTGTAGATCACAGTAATGAAAAGTGGTTTGTGAAGGTTTTGTTTTGGGGGGAAGGAGGGGTTTTTTGTTTATTTTCTTTTTCTTCCTATTCCAAAACCCATATGGGTGAGGTCCATAGTTGTTTGGTTTTTTTGGTTGTTTTTTTTTTTTGGCTGGACTAAACATGTTATATGTCGACATGTGAAAAAGCAAGCAGTATTTTGCTAGTCAGGTGCTTTCAAGATCTTTTTGTTCACATAAGCTTATTTTCAACTTTTACAAGCAGAAACTATGCTTCTAATTTGTTGCATTCCTCAAGACAATATGAATATAGTTATGTTTTAACCCATGCTTCTGAAGGGTATGTGCAGTACTTGACCTTTTTTTTTTTTTATGTATCTAACATGTCTTCTGGCAACCCTTGTGACTTCCTCCATTCTTCTAATTTTATGTAGTTTGATTTAGTTTTATAGTTGGAGTAAATTCATGTATTTCATAAATGCTGACGTTCTGAAGCCAACTGCTCTTTTTTAACACCATATAATCATGTTAGTTTTCCTAGGATACTCCATTGTTGCTGCCAAACTCAGTTGTACTGTTTCATGTTAATCTGTTACTGGTTGACTGAGTAGAACCCCTTACCAAAAACAAGTGGAAGTATTTCCCAAAAGTTAGCTACTGTAAAGAACAGATACTGTAAATATGCATGTAAATAATTCTGTTAATACTTCACTGTTACTTGTTTGGTTAAATGACTTGTGCATCTGCTAATAGAGTGAGCAATGACTGTTTTCTGGATGTTTATTTAACATACTTACTTAGGTTGAAGTTTTGGAAAATAAAATTTAACTAGGTTTGTTTCCTTTGGTATAATTTTACTACCTTGTCTTTTTGCTTTAAAAAAAAATATCTTTTTTTTGGTTCTTCTTCTATCTTCTGTTTACCTAGCACTTTTTTTTTTTTTCTTTAAAGCACACAGTTGTAGAGAGTGTTATCTTTTAATACTCACTGGAAAAGTAAAATTTATCAAAGGGTGATACAGTCATAACAACTATCGTAGCATTACAAAGTCTTTAGAGTAAAATCCAGAAACTAGAAAAGTGAAAAATTAGGTTATTTTCATACACACATTCTCTAACATTGAACATATTTTTCATATGCAACTTTTTTAATCCAAACACAGGTCAGATCTCCTGATGACTTTACAAGCATATGTCTTGTGGAAAACATATTTACTTAAAGTTCCAAGTAACAAGCATTCATATATGCATTATAGTAAAGTAATAGTGTCTTCAAGGGATTCTGCTTTACATGTTTCACTTTTGCATCTTTTGTAGTGTGTCTTCTTTTCTGTAAATCAGCTGTCAGACTCCAGATGTATATACTCTGTCAGCTCGTGGAGACGAGTGTGTCTTATATGTAGATAAGAAATAATGCCAAGTCATCCTGTACAAAAATGTTGGGAACTAGGAGTTGTATATATGAAGCAACTTAGATCAAGGTTGGCAAAATAAGCTTTGTACTCCACCGGATATACTGAAAAATCATAAAGTGAGGCTTTTGTTCAAAGTTTGTGGTCTCTGTACATATGAAACTTTGCAAGAGCTTTGAGCCTGTACCGCAGTAAGGAAAAATTGGTTTTAACTCTGTCCTACTGAGTAAGTAAGACAGGATAATCATTGCCTTAGACACTTAACAATCTATCCTACTTGTCTTAAATCTCAGAGGAGTCTAACACAAATTAGTAGTGGAATAAGATGTGAGAGAGCAAAAGAAAGCAGCTGGTTTCGCACTGTCATAATTGCCATTTGCTGCTTGTCTGCCCACTTTTAACTGCCAATAGTTCCATGTATGATAAAGACGAGTCTTGAGAGATTTAAAGATTATTCACCTGAATTTTAGCATTTACAAATTTCAAGTGCACTACATAAAAGTGTTTCTCATCTACAAGTTTCTGAATAATACCTTGCAGATGAGCAACCCTTTAAAAAGATTTCTTTGTGGCATAATGGTGGGTCAGTGAAGGCACAGAAGCATGGAGAGCACACTGGGGGGGGGAGGGGGGCGGAGTGAAGGAAACTTCTTTAGCACTGGTTCTGAAAAGAAACATACTTCACATTTGAATTTGAGCACATGACCAAGCTTCACAAATCAGGAAACACACAATATTTGCCACTCTTGACAAAACAATTGTGATTTAACAAAAATGTTTAGTATTTGAAAATCACACTTGGCTTAAAGTAACTTCAAACTAGGCTGCAAGAGGTGCTGCTTTCCACGTGCTTTGCTTTTGAATGAGAGTTACATATTCAGAAATTAAGTCAACTTTTTCTCAGTAGTTTCCTTTCAAATCTGCTAAGAACTTCTTGCTACTGGCCTATTTTTTTTTAGGAGAACAGATGGTCGCTGGGTTGTTGAATGTTGGTTTTAAGTGTAATTGTAGCACTACAGAAGGGAGCGAGACTGGCTCAGCTATATCGGGTATCACAAAGTATGCATAGCTGGGTGGTTAGTTTTTTTTTTAAATAGAATAATATGTTATGGTGCTGAGTGTTAGTGACGCTCAGTCTGGTTTGTAATAGTAATTTTTATTTCTCTCTAGGACAGTACTTCCTTATGTTCTGCCTTCCATTCCTGCCACGCAGAACTCGTTCAATTAATGATAGCTGAAGTTTACAACTTCTCTCTGACTGAATTATAGTTCTCATCATCCAGTTTATGCCTGTGGATCCTGGTAGTTGATGCAGGAAAAGAAAATTATATTCTGGCCAAAAATCAGGGAAGATACTGCACAGTTTGTACTCTGTGAATTGCTGATTTGCCACCTCTGCTTCTGCCTACGTGACCGACTCCCACAGTCCCAACCCTGAGGGTGCCACCGTAGCAGTGAAATGCAACGCATCGTCCATAAATAATAAAAAGTAATAGATTCATAATCCAAATATATACTTTGAAACTTGCTTCAGGCAAGTACTATGCAGAATATTACTCATTAAAAAGGGCATTGCCGACAGAAACAGATTTGTGTTGATGCACGGCTGTGTCTCCGCCCACCTGAGCCGATGATGATCTGCCCTCCACTGCGCTGAGAAAGCTTCTTCCGTGATTGTGTACTGATGTGAGACACCTGTACCTCGGCAGGCAAGGAACCATTGTCACAGCTGGAACACCTGTACCTCGGCAGGCAAGGAACCATTGTCACAGCTGGAGGAGACCATGCCATCTGGTGGGGCCCGGATACCAGAGGGTCTTGAATTACATCTGCTTAGTGCAGGAACTGGTAATAAGTTATTGCTTAACCGTTAAGTTACTGTAACTTAACTGAATCCGGAGAGTGTATACCTCTTCCAAAAAGACTAGGCACCATTTTTAAATTGGCCTTTGGGAAATCAATCTTCTATTCAGCTAGGGCTGCTGCCACCCTGTTCCAAGGCGGCGGCTCTGTTGGATTTCCCCGCCCGGTGACTGCCCGGCAACGCAGCACTGTTCACCCGTAACCCGGCCTGGGCATCGCCAGCCCGCCTTCCCGGCGCCGGCCCCGGAGCCTGCCCCTCATTTCCAGCGCTCCAGCGGGGAGAGCAATCCACCGGCCGAATCCACCGGCCCAACCTACGGGCGGGAGGCGGGGAGGGAAGAAGGAGGAGCCTCCCGCCTTTCCCGCCTTTCGCC